GTAGTGTAGTGTAGGCATTAGCAGCTGCCCAGAATCCAACTGCAAGCAAAGGGGCATGAACCTCAAATTGCCGGCTTCGCCCCAGACCAGCAAGTAGACTGCCTGCGCTTTGTTCCAGACAAGGTCAGGACCACACGATGAGATCAAGTTGCAAAAACCTACGAGGACCCCAATGTCAGAATCACGACCAATGCAGACAAGCATCGATTTCGGCCAGGTGTTTGCTGCTGATCTTCGCGGCCCGTGCCATGATGGTGCCGTCGGCATCTAACCAAGCTCCATGTGGCAGCTGCGCCCAGCGGGCCCCACCCAGGCCCAAGCCGTGCAAGCTCAGGGGCTCCTCAAAAACTCACGACAGAGTTTTGGGGGCTTTCGCACGGGCCACGCGACCGCCCCGCTTCGTCCTGTAGCTCAGCCGCCAGAGCATCTCGCCAGCGCAAGAAGCCCTCCAACAACTCGGCCTAGGCCCAGGCCGAGGCAGGCTGCACACGGTGACAGAACCGTTTGTGTTCCTCAGGTACACGCATGCATAGCATGGAGAGCTTCATGCAGAAGGGTTTGCTCGTTCACCACCTCACGAGACCAACAGGAATGTACTGATAGACTGATAGACCTCTTGTCGCGTTGGTGAGCGCTGTCTGAATCTCAGAGGGAGCCGCCGCATCGGTGAGGAAATCCCCTTGCTCCTCCAGCTCGAGGTCTAAGTCGGCCAGGATCGCGCAGTGCGAGCGCCAGAGCCTCGGTAAGCGAAGAGACGAAAGGCGATGAGATGTCCTCCTCCTTCTCCGGGCTTCAAGCGAGAGGAGGTGGTCGAACTGGTTCCTGGCGGCCGGGGCGAGACTCGCGACTGGACCGTCCTCCTGTGGGCTCGGGCGGCTATTCGGGGCGGCCCGGCCTGACGTTGTCGACTTGGAAGTCGAAGCGCTGGTAAAGGGCGGAGAAGAGGCTGGCAGTGCTCTCTGCGAAGTGCTGCGCCCCGTGGAGGCCACGAAGGGAGTGATCCTTCATCCAGTGCTTCAGCAGCTCCTGCCAGGGCAAGCCATGGCCCACGGCCCAAGGCTCGCAGATTGGGAGGAATTTGGGGTCCTGGTGGAGATCCGCGGGAGCAGGGGCACTAGATCGAGGCATTGCATAGAGGCCCGGGGAGCAGCTTGGCCCCTGAGGCGTTGGCCTTGGCCAGCAAGAACACTCAGGAGGCACAACACGATTTGCAGCACATTGGGTATCCGGCGATGGGCTCAGGACCTTGGTGTCTGCATTGACATCTCTGTACGGATTGGATACGATGCCGAAACACCGCCGTTCCCCGTAGCCGGAAGAGAGTGCTGGTTGAACTACATATCCGCCCAATGGTGTGACTCATGGCTCTCGCAAATGCCGAACAGGTGGCCGTCAGCGATGCGATGACGGAGAATACTAGTGCCAAGAAGGCACCTGCGAGTACCAAACGACTGACTTTCGCGATGAAAGTTGTCCCAAATTCAACACATATCCGTTCGTCATTCCAAAGTGGCACCTCCTACGAGCACCGCGACGGAAAGCGTGGACCAGGAGGCGTGCGCCTGTAGACCTCACTGTCTAATGCCATGCCGGCGACACCAGATTCATAGGTCTTGCGGTTCTTGCTGCATCATGACATGACTTGAGACGCACCCTCTGCAAAGCCTTGACCCGCAAACGTCTTCACGGAGAGCTGCCATAGCGACGAAGTGCTGCGGCAGTGTGAAGGTAGCTTCAGCCGAGTGGCAAAAAGGAGGTCGTAGCAGGTCGCAACACTGCGAATCATCCATGATGACCTTTGGTTCAACTCAGCCGAACCTGGGGCATCCCCTGGCCTGCTCTCGACAAGAACTTTCTAAGGCCTCTGAAAATTGAAATTTACTCCACCCTGGCTACCGTGCTTGTACCTTGCTTTTGCCCCAGTCTGCAGACATTCGCGAGTTGCCCTGCATGCTTCGGAACACCGATCACAGGCCAGGGCACATGACTCCAAGCGTAAAGCGACACCACCGCCGCCGCCTCGAACTGGTCATTGTCCAACAGCTCGGCCGACTGCTGACAAAAGGCTCCTGGCTTCTCTGCAGGTGCAGCAGAACCCGTCGAACGCGAACGCCCGTCCTGCATCCTTGCTTTTTTGCTGCCACACAGCCAACTGGTCTGGACTGGCCCAGTGGCTGCTGTCCAGGTCCACGTCGTTCTGCGGAGCATCGCACAACTTCACGCCTATGCCCAAACCTTTAAGAAGCACGGGCTCCTGGAACTGGGCGATGGCTTTCCTGAGCTGGCAGATCGGGCAGAAAGCCAGGTGTTCTCGTCTCCTGGTCTCCGAAACGCTCCACTGCCTCCGAAACGCTGGACTTTGCCACAATTCATCATCTGCAGCTGCTGCAGCTGGGGATCGTGGTACCTCACTTCTCCACGCATCAAGCAAGCTTCGGACGTGGAAACACGTTCCTTTTGCCAAGGGGCTGCTTCGGGAGCTTGCAGCTGGAGCTTTGAAAGCCACATCGCCAGCAGGACAGCGGATACTCGGAAGCCACCTGCATGCCTGCCTCCTCCTCCGTGAGCTCCTCAGAGCAGCGCACTCGGCTCGGAGAGCGCTCCGGCTTGAGACAAAGGGAGGAGGCTCTGGCTCTGGTGTCACTGGACCCTACCGATCAGATTCCTTTACCATTGCCAGGATGGGATGGCTTGATGTGGACGACTGAGGCTTTCTCATGGTTGAAGAAGCATAGTGAAACTTTGATGAAAAGAGTCTGCTGCGCGATCGCAATGCGAATGCCCATCTGAACCCGACACCATCACGTGAGATCGGCACAGCGCGACCTGGCCTTGAAGCCGACGAGCCAGTCCACACGACCACCGCCTCTGCTCGAGTCGGGCCGTTTTGGAGGTCCCAAGCCGTGGCCGTGAACAGACAAGGATTATGTTCAGGCCGGGGCAAGTGTGGCCGCCGGCATCGTTCGACGCAGCTTTGCCACAGTTGTGGCCAGACGAAGGTACCCAAAGCAAGAGGCAAAGAGCCTGCCGTTGTGACGGTTTTGTGTAGTGAAACTGCACTGCAAACACGCAACGCGAGCAACCTGAAGCAGCCGCATCACCGGCTCATGTCTCTGGGACCAGTAGCCGCGACATTCGGCCGCTACCAGAACTCGGAGCGCTAAACTCTCAAGAGCTCGCAGGCTCTATCGCACTAAGCTAACAGCCGACTTGAATGGAAAGCTACTGCTTTTGCATCTTCGTGCACAGTGCTGTGCACATGCACGCGCTTTTGAAGCTCCTGGCCGTTGCTTTCGTGTTGGGATCTGTTGGGTCTACTCGCCGCCAGTCTGGCATTCGGCTGCTGTTGCACAATGAGACACGGACTTTGGGCCATGCGAATGATTCCAACGAGGTGCGTAGGCTAGATTAGTGAGGACGCCAACTGTGAGTGCGACCGTTAAAGCTACGTAGTTTCATGCCAGTCACATGACATGTGTCAGCTCTCGTACAAGGGGAACGAGAGCGTGTGTAAAGACAAAACGTGAAGCTCAGATCCACGACAGCGACACATGTCAACGCGTCTCATCAAAACATTCCAAGCAGGTCTCCTGCCCAAATGTGGCCTACGGCCCGTCAACTGTCGACGGGCCCTCTAAGGGAATGCAATTCGGAGTCCAGTCCCTGAGCCGCCGCGCTGCGGGTAGATCCGGCACTTGCCTTGAGGAGCTTCTCCTTGCCAGGCAGCCGAGATCAGCAGAGATCAGCAGATCTCATCGTGCAACTGCATCTGCACTTCAGCTTCGGTGACCTCTTTTGGTTTCTGCGTGTAGAGCTGCCAGTGCCTCTGCGGTCACCGTCCACGCTCGGTCAGCGAAGTATAGCACGAGCACGCGCCTTTCGCACTCGGCAGGGTGTGACCTTCCATTCCGGACCTGAAGGCGGATCGACCCTCGACCGGATTAGAGGATCTCGACCTCGCCGAGCACCCGACAGCGAGATCGTATGGCACTCAGGATCTCGACGACGCTCATCTCGGCGGAACAGGAGGCCCACAAGCCCCAGAAGCAGGTGACATGACATGACGCGACATCACGAAAGCACCCTGCCCTAGCACACCCGGCCCGAACTACGCCCTGTGGCCCCTCGGCTCTTCGGCGTGCCTTCTGAGCCGCGGTGGAGACCAAGGCGACCATGCGCTTGAACTCGCCGGCGGACGGCTGCGGCCGTCTCCTTCCAAAGTCTGGGGCCCGGGGCTTCCTTCATTTGTGGGGAGGGGCAGACTCCACCCTTCACCAAAGGAGACGATTCCCTTTTTTTGAAAACGGCACAGCACAGAAAGCTTAGGGCTTGCCCAAGGAGCACTTGTGGCCGGAGAGTGGAAACACAAAGGCTTTGCCACCGCAAGCAGCGCCGCCTTTCTGTACGGAAGACAACCCCATATTAACCCTGAATTTGCAGAGCAACGCCTTCCTGCCGACACTGCACTGAGAAGGCGTGAGCGGTCTGCAGGTCGGCAAGTGGCGGGGCAGGGAAGCCACAAAATCGGAGCTAAGCAATAAGAGGATTGAGAGCAGGCTTCCGGGACTGTACCAGACGGAGGCTTCCGCTGCTCCTTCTGTCTCTGTCACTCTCTTCAGCTCCCTGGTACAAGCCGCCTTTTGCTCTTGTGGAATTGTACCTGGAGCAAACCAGGCAAATCGTGGCTCTGCTCTTTGGAGCCGCCATCGAGTTCAAAGCCACAGCCACATTCTTAACATGGCAAAGACAGGATTTGGGATTCGTGTCGCCGCCTCCACAATCCCTTGGAAACAAAACATAAAGATTCGCCGCCTATTTTGGCGGCTAAACGGATCCCAGCTACGTCCCTCTCCTTCTTCGGTGAGGTTGCAGCGGTGTGCTTTACAAATTCCGTGCACCTGCATTGTGCAGGGAGCTGTGACGGTGCCCCCGTACCTTAGTCACAATGACGCAGCTTGCGCTCATGAAACAGGGGCTGCTCAGCCAAGACGGAGGCTGGTTCATCGGGAGTCCACGAAGCAGTGCCACAGCTCCTTTCAAAGCGAGAACAAAAAAAAAACGAGCAGGGCTGATCTCTCTGAGTCCACTCAGACTCCGTCCAGAAGGTCTTTCTTGAGACCCAGGAGCTCCGAGTCCTGCGACGAAAGCACAGCTCCCTCCGTCCCTCCAACTCCGGTTCCCGCCGGTTCCCGGTTCCCGCCTGGAGCTTGCCGTGGGTCGTCAGGCTCCGAATGTGATAGACATGTGAGGCTCCACCTTGCCACAAACGCCGGAGGAGCAAGCCCTCTGCTGAAGCGGTGCATGCTCAGCTTCGGCTTCATTGACTTCATTCAACGGGACGGCGGCATTTATTGGGTATGTCTATGTCCATGTGAGTCGTGTCCGAGATCAAATCTTTATCATGTGTGAGTGTGTGTGTGGATCCCGTCTCGCTTGTCGCAACAAAACCAGATCTTTCGACATGATCTCCTGCTTTGCTGATGCCTGGGATGCATACGGTACCCACTTCCCCTGCAAGCGATGTCACGGCGTGTCGGCCGGCTGGCCGAGACGACGATCTCTTTAGTAGTCCCAAGATCTGAGAATAAGTTACAGTTACACCAGCATATGTTCGAGTGGGATCGTAACAGTTAGCGTTGCAGCCAGGATGTCAACCTACTAGATGCAGCTCCCACTTCTGCAACGGCGAATCGAGCCTTTTCGAGTTTCGAGCTCATGAACGAGACTGGTGCATGATACAGGCCGTACACAAGCCATGCTGAGATCGCTCTTTGTGAAGCGGAGGAAGAGCCATGCAAAGAGAATAACAGACAACAAAACGGTTCAGTTCCGGGGTGGGCCACCACGTCATACGCTCGGACATTGATGCAGAAAGTTTAAAACCTGTTGAACACAATGACTTGACCCAATTCGCCATGCACCGGTGTGGTACAGATGGTACAGACCCCAGCATGGAAAGAAGGAATGGTAAGGCAAGCACGTGGTCGACACGCTGGTCCAGTCCCGCGCTCATCATCCATCGCCTGCATGCTCATACTTTGCACAAAGAAACTGAAGAGCCAACCCTTCTCCCTCCATCTCCCACAACCTGAAATTAACAAGCCCTCCAAGGCAGAACTCTCACCGGTCGTCCTCGATGTTTGCCCGGCAGATGGTCAAGCCACCTGCTATTCTAGGACAAAGCGGCACCGAGGGACAGAAGTGATTTCAGACACAGATGACTGTAGAAAACATGTCCCGGCTGCGCCGCTGGAAGATTGCCTCGTGACGACAGGAAAACTCGTATTGACCGATGCTTGATGGAAGTGTTATCCGTTACGGTTTGGTCGTGCTGCGGACAACCATGCGACCTCTCGGTTGCGACCTCAATGCTGCCCAGCTGCGGTAATGTCTGACATGATCATCGGCACATCCTCTGCAACAATAAGATCTAGCCCTTTAGCTTTGCCGGTCTTCGAAGCTTTAGCAGCTATGCCACACTGCAACAAGCCTCTTTCATGTTGATGAAAATCACGGTGCACGAGTGGTGGACATCATTGCTGAAGCCTGCAGCAAGCGGTGTGCCGCATCCAGTCCACTTGCAGCGATGCCCGCAGCGCACGCAGCCTATTTCATTTCCCATGTGGACTGGGTTCTCCTCGATATCCAAGAGGTCCTTAACATAAGCGCCGGTCACTGCTTCCAACTTACACCGCTGCCGCTGTCCTCCTGACTTTTGGAGAGAGGCAGGCCGACCTCACGGCGCGGGCGGAAAAGCGAAGGAACGTGCCAAAACGGTGCGGAAGCCTCCAGGTCTGTGGCCGACCTTGGGAGAAAGCATGGCATGTCGACATACCTGCCGGCACGTTTCCGCATCCACCGTTCGGCATCCGCCGTCCGAGTGGCTGGAGGTCTGTCTCGCCACCCGTCGCCCCTGCGCCGCTTACCTCCGAGCCTGGCTCAGGACAAGCAGCGATTGACAAAGCCGCTCGGAATCATGAGAACAAAGTCCGAACTGGGCCTTAACATGAAACATAACGAGATCACAAGTCCCTTCCTGCAACATAACCGCCCGTATTGCAACACTCAGCATGCAGTTCACTCGAGCGGAAGCTGCTGGCCCTGTGCAACGGAGAACTCTCCAAGGACACGTCGGCGCGACCGCAGTCTGTAATCGTTCCGCCAGGACCAAGGACCGCCAGGTTGCTGCTGGGCACGACCTCGGCTCGGGACATGCGCATGCCATTTTTGCGCGGGAATCGATCACCTCTCAAGCCTCAAGCCTCGGACGGAATTCATGCCACGGACTGTCGCGAGCAACTTCCTCTTGGCCTCTCATGGGTTGAATCCCCGAAAAACACTCCACGCAGAGACACTCTTCGGAAATGCGAAGGCCGAAGGACCTTCTGATGCCGGAGACAGCCCACCACGGCGTCATGCACCGTGGGGAAGAACCATTTTTCCCCGACCTTGAACGCATCACAAGGCATCTGGTCTAGTGCTCCCCAAGGCCGCTCAGGCGGCTCCACAACTCAGACTGTAGGCGGCCGGCCGAGTTTGTCAATCCACTTTTCCGGAAGGTCCTGGCCCAGCGCACTCGCTCTCAGCTCGACTCTGCCAGAAACGGCAGGCAGCATCGACTCCTGTCCAAGCGGTTGCCCACCATGGCAAAAGCAATCTGAATGCCACAGCCTCGACCGCGGAAGTCGTTCACCACGTCCTTCCAGGCCATGCTTCAGCCAACACAACACTGCGGGTGGCGAGGCAATGTGAATGCAGCCATCAGAGAATCCTCCAACACGTTAAGCGCTGTAGAGTCCACGCTGACAACCTCGGCATCTGCAAAACCCTCGACACCTGCAGCCGTTGCCTCACTGAGTGAGCGGCGGCAGTCATTTCCAGAACGATGTACTCCGTTCGGTTGATGTGTTCCAGGGCGGAGATACGCTCCTGCAACCAGTCCTCGCAGCCCACACGTGAATCTCTCACAAAAGCTCACAGGGCCTCAGGGCCTGGCCTTGATGAAGTAGGCATTCGCGAAATATCTTAGCTGCGTGGGGTGTGGCAAGGGTAGAAGTCTGCAACACACGGCCAGGATTGGCCAGAGCCTCTTTCTAAGGCCCTGGCATGCTGCTCCCAATGCGGGCGATGAAGACGTTCGGCACGAAGGATCCATGCGGGTCCTCCCATTGCTCATGATCACTGATGATCCATGCGGCAACTTGGTGTCGACCGCACCGCTCTTCGGGAACAGCCCGCGCAATAACGTGATCGGAACATAGCAGAGCCACGAAGAATTATGGGGACATCTGTGGAAAGTGGACACACTCAAAACATATCAGTACCTGCTTCACGTTCCGGTAGATGGTGGTTCCAGGGAGGCGCCAGAGAATCGCGATCTGGGGCCTTCGGGCAGAGGCGAAGGGGCGATCTTGGAGAACGGTCCGTTTTGGAGGGGGAGCCCGAGACTCGCAACAGTCAAGCATTCCTGTCAGCTTGGCCTCACCGATTCGTAGATGACAATGGACAGTGAAAGGCCGACTGCCAAGGCAATGCCTCTCCAAGTTTTTGCCCAAAACAAGGCAGCAAGCGCGGAAGCATTAATGCCTGTACCTGTAGACACTGTAGTCCCAATGTCACATGCCGGCACTCAGGCCACTGCCCTGAAGCACGCCGAGGAACAGAGTTCCAAGAAAGGCTGCAACCTCACTGCCGCCCAGAGCAAAGTCAGAGAACAGCCCCGTTTTTGATTGGGCCGATACCCAGAGGAAGCAATCCTGCTTCTTGACGCGCCACAGTTTCATGGCCTCACACCAGAAAAAAATCCGCTGCGAAGCAAGGCGCAGCTGCGAAACGATTTCGGCCTCCTTGTATGCCACTAGCGGGGCCACCTTGCAGCCGACAAGTCATGTTACACATGCTTCTAGCCATCCCAGAGAAGCTGACAAAATCAGCGAAGACAGCAGCGCTCCAGCTTTTTCCATCTGGAATGCAACATGCCGTTGCTCGCTCTGAAGCCTTTGAAGCCATTGGCTCCGTTGACGACGGGCTCAAGCAGACTCCCATGCAGCTGGAAGATCAGGACCTGTGACCTCTCCAGGCACCTCCTCAGCGCCAGCGCAAGCGTGGGCCGTCAAGGGCGATCACATCGGAAAGCTTCCGGTCATGCCAGCAGCACCGGCGGCAAAAGCAGCCCCGGCAACTCCGCCAAAGACCGCGGCTTTCGGCCCGCCGAGGGAGGACATGAAAGGTGCAGAGGCAGAGGCCGAGGACTGCTCCGCGCCAACATTGGCGGCTCCTGGCTTGATCTCGACCATCACGGGTCCGACATCTACGCCCAACTTTTGCAGCCTTTGATGCGTATTGTCACAAAGAGGGAAGCGAAGCGACTGCCAGCAGCGACAAACGGTCAAGCGGGTGGGCTTGGTCCCGGTTGGGTAGACAAGCTTCTCATGCACCACTTGGTAGCCCAACGTATTTAGGGGCTCACCGGCTTTGCGTAAGACACTGGTTGCCACTTGCTTCGCCGGCTGCGAGGGTGTGGATCCCATGGCTGATCCCTTGACCGCCGGTCAGCCCAGCGGTCTCACTATCTCAAGTTTGCATGTAATCTCGAGCAGAAATGCACAGATTCCAACTGGGCTTGCGAAAGCACGGCAGTGGAATGAGCCTGCACACAAGAACTGGGCATGGTCGGAGCCCGACGGAGCTAATGACGATTGCAGCCAGCACCTCGTCACAATACAGCATCCAAGCGTTAACTGCTCTTGTAGCACACTCCTCGTACGCAACAGGAAATCTGAGCTGAAGGCAAAATCAGGCAAGTAGTTGAATAATGGTGTGAGGAAAAGGAGCGTGCACCTGAAGTGTTGAATGTTATCGCAACAACGAACACATCTAAATACCTTGAAGTGCAACTCGGTGCAGCACAGCATGACGAGGGCCGTGATCAGGCCAGCGAATTGGGACACGGCACCGGTCGCGTTGTTCACAGCCTAAACCATTGAAAGAGACGAAGAAGCTGAGTACATATCTCGAGTTCGTAAATTTTACGCAGCTCACCAGAGGCCGACGCAGAGCGGGAGAAACTGCCTGTGACAGGATATGCGGAAAACCTGGAGCGACAGAGAGAAGCGGGTGACGCTCGGAACAGAAAGCGAGACTTTGAGATCTTTCCCGAGCACCATGCATGGCACCCACCAAATTCGACAATCCCAGGGCCAAGAGCTCCTTCGTGGCACGCGGAGCGATCCCGCGGAGCGCTTGGAATTTTTATCTCCGACACTCCGTGCATCCGAACGCGGAACCGGACCTGGCCGGCTTCCAGCTCGTAGCCGTGCTTGGCAGCCAGGTTCTTGCCAATGGCCTTCATTCGGATTTAAGGGTTCGATAGGTTTAGGGTTTCGGGTTTAGGGTTGAGACTAATGGGAGGCCTGAGCCTGTGAGCCCCCTGAGCCTTCCGAGCTCTGGACGATCGACTCCATGTAGCCGATGAGGCAACACGAAAGGGCAGTGGGAAGTACCTAGTCAGAAAACCCCTCTATTTCCTGCTCTTGCCACCTGGCAGAAGGCTTGGCTTTGGGCAGCCAGGCCTTGAAAAAATTTGACGGATCCCAGGCATCGAGGCTCAGGGGGAAGATGCCCGAAGGAATTGGACCATCTTGGCCAACATAGCTCACCTTCGTTTCAAGCGAAAGCTTCCCCTCGCAGAAGGGCTCGAGTACAGGTGAACATCTTCATAGCCTCGAACTGCTCACGCAAGGGTTCGCAAAGCCACAGCCTGAACGCCGCTGCCAACGCACTCTTCGCTGTCTTGGGGCGAGTGTTGCGCCACGTCCAAGAATCGGACAGAAGAGTTCCAGCCTGCTGCTTTCCATAAAAAAAAACATGAGAATCAGATGGCTCTAGGCTGGTCGAAAGTAGGCCGCCCCACGGCACAGCAGAACAAGGGAGCCAGCGGCCCGACCAAGGAGAACCTCGAGGCGCAACATGCAAGCCCAGCTAGAGACCCAGGACGGGGGAAGAAGCCTCGGTTTGCGTTTGGAGATCTCCTTGGCGAGGAGGAGGAACGCCAGGGAGAGTACTCCTGCACAGGTTCTGCGACTGCGCTCACTAGTCGGACAGCCACCCAAGCTCATGTCGCGCTCCTAGAAGAAGCGTCATCCATTTGGTGTGTCCGACCTTGTGCACCTGTGAACAGAGAACATTGTAGATGGATTGCTAGACTGGCAGTGCCACGATAATACTCCCGGAACCTCATCAACTAGATTGTGTGGGATGTCCCGAGCTTTTTCAGTGTCAGCGCTATCACGATCATCGCCATCATCACCATCATCATGACATTGCCAGTACTATGGTCACTACCAGTACGAGTACGATTGCCACGGGATTATCCCTGAATACCCGCCGAATCTTCAGGCATGTCCGGATCACTCTGAAAGGTATCCGCGGGTAAGGGATGCAAGGTCGTGGCCGGCACGCCGCGCTTGCGTTTCCTACTGAAAGTGCTGTCGTTTCTGCATCCAAGCATTCACAGGCAACAACTATCAGGCAGATGGCGCACATGTCGGCTGAAAGTTTGTCATTTCCGCAATCCGAGGAGTCAACAACGACGACTGACGCACTGTGGAGCTTTTCCTGCTGGTTTTGCCCCGATGCGTTTACAACCACGACGACCTAGCTGCCATCCGGCATCCAGCACCATACATCATCCATCCATCACTGCATCCTCAGAAAGCAAAGTTCGCAAAGGTTTCTGTCAGGCCAAAGAGCAAGTTCGATCAGAGTCACGTAGACGTACTGAGACCTCGGTCACACCCCGCTGCACGGACCCACACCCGTAGAAAGCTGCGAATGCTCCGAGGCAGTGCACTGTGTGCTGAGAGCTGCGCTTGTCCAAATGGATGCCTAGCATGTACTTTAGCTGGCTCAGGCCGATAATGATGGCTGCGCCGCTGGTAAAGCCTCAAGCCGCATTTCAAGAAAGAGCGACTTGAGCTTGCAGATTGTGGCATTCGAGCTCAGGGAGCCGCCACTGGTCACAGGATGGCCCAAGAAGGTGACCAGGAAGCCCATCCTGTCGAGATCTGGCGAGGCACCAGGGTCTTCACTTCCTTGGCCCTTGGCGCTCGGAGTTTTGGATTTTGGCCTGAGGATCATGGCCGCAATCCTGAGCTTCTCCGATCGCTTTTCGGGCACGCAGAGAGCCACCAATTCAGGTCCAAGGCTCTGCATCAGCCCCATCACGGCAGAGGTAAAAACAGCCAACTTCACGTACCTACAGGACGTTGGACAGACCACTCCAGAGTCGGATGAATATACCCTGCAGGTACTCGTTCTTGCAGAACTCGTCCTCGGCGGAGAGTTGGCCCTTGCTGCCTCCAGCCAAATCGGGTAATGGCGTCAGCAGGCACCAGTGTTTGGGCCTTCACCGAAACGAGGATCCCATCCAGGACCTCGCAGAGTCTCCAGTGTCCAGTGAGGGGTGCGGCCCAAGCTTGGGTCCACACACGGGCCACTCTGTATCTGCGCCATCAAACCCGCGTTGATGAGCAGTGAAACCATGGCCACCGGCCCGACCTCTGTGCTATCAAGGCGCACCGTGTCTGGCAAAAGACAGGCCGAGCTTCAGACGGCAAGCTGCCTCGACTGGCCGAAGATTGCGTACACCAGAGCAGGAACACACCTGAGAAGATCTGCCTCTTATGACATGCGCACCACCTCTCCTGCAAATACTTGCAAGAGCTGGGGTGGGAACGCCGCATACATTCCATATTGATACGGGAGTCCTCGAAAAACCATGCACCGCACCGTGCCCCTCAACAACGGCAACTGCTGTCGGATTCCTTCTCAGACTGTAGACTCGTGTCGCTGCTGCAAAACAACGAGCGTCCTGCGATGTTTGCGTAAGACATACTCTGCGGGATGACCATGACTCCGACCTCAGTTGCACACTGGTTAATCGATATCCATTCCTTACTGGTGGACACTCTGGGCACCCTGCTGTCAGCCCGGCAATGATGTCTGCGCGAACGCTCTTGCATGACATCTCGCGACACCAGGACAAGAGCGGCACCTCACAGCTTGTGGTAGCAGGTGATGCACTGCGACAACTGAAAACTCTAAATCAAGCTTGGGCACGCACGACAAAACACTCGGCCCTAATGCAACCAAGATACTCTCCGACACACGGTGCGTCCCAGGCGTGACTGGGCCTTATTGCACCGAGTCTCGGGTTCTGACCGAAGACTTGGAGATTCTGCCTCCAGGAATGTGGTCGAGATGGAGGACCTCAAAAACACAGCCACAAGTGGCACAAGCAGACCCTTCATCAGTTCCAGCGCACCTGGTGGAAGCTTCCGACACCGGCATCTGCTTTTCGGTGCAAGCCAACATCTTGCGAGCCCTCAGCCACAGTTGCGATAAGGCACAGAGACAAGCACCAAGTTGGTTTCTTGGATTCTGCACATCTCGGCCATCGACTGTGCCATCGGTTTCGATTTCCGCCCTTGCTCTTGCAGGATCTGCGCTGCCTGCCGATCGGTCTGGGCGCAGTGCAGCTATGTGTTCGCGAGGCCCGCCTGCTGTGACCGATGCTCAGAAAGTAACACAATCTCGACCGGCTCCGTCCTAAGTAAGGCCAGGCGAAGTTCCAGCTAACAGGAGAATGGGCCACGGATGGCTAGAGTACTTCATGCTGCATCACTGAATTTTCTCTGACCTTGCACTCGACCTGAATTCGTCTATGCCCAGCAAGGTATTCAGCTTGCTTGGAACAAGATCAGGCAAGGTGAAGCACGAAGAAAACGACTGGAATCTGACTGGAATGGGAACTCTGCGTGCTGTGCTCCCGCGGTATGTGCTCCACCCGCGCAGAGCAGTCAACAAGCCTATGCCACTTGGCACCAGGATTCCAGCTGGCCTCTGGAGCGAATTCCACAGACAACCTGGAAGCTACAGGCGCGGCTAACCAAGGGCTACTGGTGGTTCGATATCTTCCAGGCTGCCGACTATAAAATCAGCTGATGAGAGTTCAACAGCTGGCAGACACGAACAGCTGATGCAAAATCTGCAGTCAACCCGCCGTGTGGAAAATGTCGCCCTAGCTGGCAGACACGTCACCAGAATTCTGTCGAATTCAATTGAAGGTGGACAAGCAGTGCTTGAATCTAGTCCATTTGACAGAGGCTGCATGAACAGTTATTGACATGACGGCATGCTCACGAATGTACCACACAACAGGCCAGGCGCGAGGCCTGAGGCCCCCCTGGCCCTGGCCTGGCGGGAACCGAGCTAGATGAAACAGGTGTGAGACGCAACCTCGCTCCCTGAGCCGGGCTAAGCACCGGCCGCCCTCATGCGGTGGCCTGAAGACCGAGTACGTGCGAACTGGGGCGGGATGCTCCGTTGATCTCTCAGATCCTTGCGGAGCTCGTCAAAGAGCCTCTGCCCCAAGGCCGCATCGCCTGCGCAAAGCTGCGTGAAGCGCTGCACGGGCCTCGGCAAAGGCTGGGTGTGCAACCCTGCTTTGCTCGCTTTGCCGCTCGCTTTGTGGCAACGACATGAGGCCACTGCCACCGGGTGAAGATTTTCCCATCAGTGCCCTGTCGGCTCACGAAGCCCGGCTCCCGGAAATGGCTGAAGAACATCAGCACTGAGAATTGCTACTGAGTATAATTGAGTATATATGCATCCGTAGAAGATTTCATAAGCTCTGGCCTTCGTGACTGCCTCTGCATGAAGGCGCGCAGCACCACTGGCAGCGCTTTGGAGGAACTGCCGAACATCCTTCTCCGTCCAGCTGCGCGGGTGGGCCTCCCCTGCCTCAGCCATGGGAGCACCGTGGCATAGGTGCCGCCTTGCAGAGTCTCAAGCCTGCTTGCGCTGGACGATGTCCTCCTGCCGGGGTTGCATTTCAACCGGCAAGTCGACTCGACAACTCGACAAAATATCGACCCATCACCAAGGACAAAAACTACAAGCACGCGAGCTCCTGCTCCTCGAAGGCCATCTTCGTCCCCTGCAGCTCCTGCACCAGAACTTCCCACGTAGACAGAAGAGGGGCTGCCTGCTCCCGAACAGGATCCTGCAAAGACCGCACGGTGGCCAGCGAGTGCTCCGTGTCAGTCGCCGAGGGACTCACCGTCCCTCCGAGACGTACAACTTTCGCAGCTTACTTGAGGTTGATGGTATCTAATGAATCAAATACGCCAAGCTGGTGCAGCAAAATGCTGGCAGAACCCTTGCAGCCTATGGCCACGATCATGGCGTCGGTGCTGCTGAAGCTGTCGGACAGCACGCGTGTGAGCAGGCTGCCGCGAAAGGGCGGCCTTAGCTCCCGAATCTCCCACCCGGACACTTCCACGAAGTCACGAAGCGAGGCGGCAAAGAGCCGAGGCCACCACTGTCCTTTCGGCGAGCGCATGGCTCTGAAGCACTCCTGCTGCAAAACGAGCTCCACCACAATGCCTGCCCGTGCCAAACTTGGTCCCGCCTTCAGAGCGAAGATCGTTGCATTGATTTCAGCGCTCTCCTTAGCTGGGCTTCCACTCGAGACTGCTTCCCAATACTGCCTTCCACCATGCCGAGTGTCCTTCTGACCTTGCGAATCGTGCTGTGTGGTGTCTTGACGCCTCTCGCTCCCAGCACAATCCACCAAGGTCAGCACTGCACCTGACACCGGCATGAGATCTGACTATATCTGACTTCAGCCCAGTGTGAAGGAACACCTGGATTACCCTGGCTTCCAAGCCGATCACCCCACCTCCTGGTAGGCAGATGCGGAACACGGCGTGGGAGCGGGACGAAGTGTCGTTGGCCTGTGTAGCCCGCGTTGCCCGGCGAGCAAGCGCACCTGCCGGGTCCGGAGACAAGAGCATGTCCTGTGCGCCACCCCGAAGCGACTCGTCGGCGCCCTCGCCCGGCGCCCTAGCCCGAGCCTTCCAGCAGTTGCTGCAAGCTGTCCGGACTGCTTAGCTCGCCTCAGCGAGAACGTGTCGCTAGCGGAAGCTGAGGATCACGTGGGGAAACGACAACCACACCGGGGCTCACGCAGACATGCGCGCCCACAACGTGAGTCCTACTCCCCTTGTCCATGACCTGACAGAGCTGAGAAGGCTGCATCGTCTGCTGGCTCTCATGACAGTATGACTCTCGCCACCTTGAGGTCACTGGATCCGTCTCCCAGCAAGTCCCGCATGCTTTTGCCGGCGATTTCGAAAGCAGTGAGTCTGCCTCCGATGTTCAAAATGCTCTAACTGCGCGTTGTATGACATGACGCCTGGCAACACGCATGCCCCAGAAGCTGTGGCCAAGATGCAAGTGACAGAATCTGTTTCGCTTTCTGCAAACAGATCTTGTACTGCTCGTCGCATGAGCCCAGTCATGGTGTGGCTCTTGCCGCTGCCCGTTTGCCCGAAGAGGAAGAGTGTTGCCACCTGAAGCAAAGCAGCTTGAGCCTTGCAGGTCCTACCACGGGCAACGGGCACTCACACTGCCGTCAGCACCTGCCCCGCCAAGACCTGGGACCGAAGCCAAAAGCAACGGGGAGAGGCGAAAGAGGCCACGAAGCGCAAGGGGTTTCTTTCATTCCGAGGCTCATGGTGCACAGCTGGTGCAGCGCAGCGGGAATAAATATCGTCGTTGGTGGCAGCCTCGTTGAAAGCTTCCGTGAACTGGAAGCCCATGTGAGAGACCTTGCATCTCAGAGCAGATGGTTGAAGACGATCCCTTCTACGAAAGCATTCGCCAGTGTAAGCCGAGCTCGTAAAGGGATCGCAAGTCTGCTTTCGTCAAGCAGTTGTGGATGACCTGGGCTTGGCGGCTTGGCACAGCTAGAAGCAACATTCAACATGGTACCAACGCACTGTACTTGTTTCCCCCTGGTTGTCGCCAGGTGGCCACCTGCTGCTCTCCCTTCACACTCACGACATCGAACTCCCCAAGCCTCTCCTCGTGATCGAACAAAGGTCGCTTCCGGATGTAGACCTGGATCAGAAGTCGGCACAGTGACTAAGTCTATAGGTGATACTAACTAGTGCGCATGAAAGTGACAGAGCTCTTCTGGACATCAAGGCGCTCGTAAACGAGGAGACGGCCTGCTGTCGGAGCTTGCTGGGACCTGCCAGGGAAGCACATGACACGCTCAAAGAAGTCGAAGTCTGCCACCTCTTTCTGGAGCTGGCGCCAAGAGCCCAGTCTTTCAAGGTAGATCGACTTGTTGCCTCGGAACTCGCCCAGTCCTTCCCGCCCACCGTCCTTCCTACTTCGATGCAACTCGAGCTCCAAAGCACTGTGTTGAAGGTTGTGAACTGTTGGCCATGGATCAAGTGCTATGGCTCAGACATGTCGCAGTCTTGCAAGGCAGTGCGTATCTAAGATACATGCAGGTCGCAAGATTGCCCTTCTCGGCAGAAGTCAGCTGAAGCAGACATGTCGTGTGTGCTAAAAGAACCGAATTCGTAGCCGGCGTGCCATGGATGTTTACCCCCTCTTGTCTCTGTGAAGATCATAGGCTATAAGCCCGGACATCTATCTACCTCTTGAAGTTCTTCAGGTTATGAGCCCAACTGAGCGTGGAGCTACGCTGGAAGGTGAAGCTGCAGGTCCGAACTATGGAGCAGTTCTGAATGGTGTACTTCCCCCATCTTCCCCGAGGAGGACGAGGATGTCTACAACCTTACCCTTGGGGCGAACTTCGCCGAGCCCTCCTGAGGCGAGACAAAGTTCGGAAGTAAGGATGGACAGTGGCACTGAACTTGATGGCAGAGGAACAGCAGCTCAAGATGTTGCGGTACCGGAACAGCAGCAGACGATGAGGGCTGATGGAACGCAGCCAACCGCATCGGCCGTGGAAGATACCGCATCGGGCGCGAACGTACGTACGAACGAGGCGTGCCATCATGAAGCTGCAGCACCGATCCCTTCTGGGGTGGCTCAACCTTTGGGCCAACGCAACCAACCGCAGCCAGTGACAGCGTCAGCTCCGAGAGAGCGCCTGCCACCTCCGCTACAGCATGCAGTGCAACAGTTATCTCAGCAAAGGACCGCGGTCATACAGGCGGTCCAGAGTCGAGCTCAGCGAGCACTACATGGTCCACGGGTGGATGAAGGACAACGGGGCCGCCCAGATGATGACGCTTTTGAAAGCATGGCAGGCTCCCCGCCCGCGGAAGCTTTTCAAGATGAGGACCAAGGTCATGGCGCATGGTCGGTTACGAGAATCAGCCAGGTTCTACATAGGAGATTGGTTGCACCAGTTCTTGAACACGTGAGCGGAGCAGACCGACACCAAGGACCCACATCCTCTCCTACTTGGCACTCTCCTACGGCAGAGACAGCAAGGGGTTCCTTGATGTCTCATGAGACACGACAAGCGATGGCGAGCTGGACGGCGAGACCAACGGCTTTGACTACACCGGTGCCTCCTGCACCGATGGCGCCGCAACGAGATGATAGCTCGGACAGGAGCGTTCAGCACGAAGTTGTTATGGAAGAAGTTCGGCGCCAGGTGCAGCTGGCCATGCAGGGACGCGACAAGGAGCTTCAGGCTCTAAAGAGCCAAAACGGCGAACTTCAGAAGGCCCTGGAGGCCTCGGCTCAGTTGCTGAATGAAGTGATGACGGGTGGGG